CATTGTGGTCAGTAACAAAGGACTAACGAATGTTAGAATCAAGTAGACTGACTGAACTAGAAAAAGTTTAAGAGCAAAATCAAAAACAAATCATAACAGTAAAAGGTTAGCTGTATTACTTATAAATGTTACTTTCACATATAATATAAATAGCTGCACATAGATTAATATAAATACAAATGCGATTTTGTAATTATCAATAGAAATTTATTGAATTATCAAATCAACAACAACTTAAATTTATGGCCAAATCAAATGATTTTAATTTTTCGAAAAAATCAAATTCGACTAAGACTAAAAATTTGGGATACAAAAAGCCATTCTTTGATTAGTCAACACTTCCTCCCTGTAATACACAAAAAAGTTATTGATATGAGATTTTTGAAATTTCTTTATGAAGTGTATGTATGTTATATATCAATAAGATTATTTTTAAAATGAAACAAATTAGTCATAAAATTACCCTATGAAGAAGTATTGCTTCCCATAAAAATACAACGCTGTTAATAATCATCAGACCTCCAGCAGTCAGGCCACAAACTCGGTTACTTCCAGCAAATTCATCGCTCTCCCACTCTAGAATTACATCAATTCCTGATGCAATAAACAGAATACAACCGACAACAGAAAATAAAATATTCAAAAGTTTGGGTGCCATCGAATTAAAGATGTAACCTTGAAAATAATTTATGAATTTATGAAAAAATCAGTAAAATTTAATAAGAAAATTTATAGATACTCTCACCAATTGTAAAAATGGCGCAAATGATAGCGTAACCCGCAATAGTACCGATAACTAGCAATATTTCAGTAGACAGAAACCCTATTATTTCCCACAAGACAATACAAGCCACTGTTATAGCCTTAAAGAAATCACAGTTATAATTAAATTGTATAATTTAAGCGCTTTTTCTGGATAAACAAAAATATTTATAAAAACAAAAAATCCATTTATTTAAATATATATATTAATATAGTATGATATAGGAGAATATTATCCTTACTACTATCTATATCGTACAAAAACATGATTAACGAAACACAATTTTAGGGGTTCTTGAGAACGAAATTCTCAGTGTTTATTTATTTGTGAGTCAACATTCAAATTAATTTTAAAGTTAAGAACTGAACTGCTTAATTTTAAGAAAAAGGAACTCAACTGTTAGGTCCTTCGCCCTGTAATATTCTCAATAAAATTGTTGGTTCCACCTACGTTAATACTAACTACCGTCCTCATAAGAATTATGACTGTATTGGAGGTAGAAATACTTAGTATTAAATAGAACACTGTTCAGCTGGTATTTAAACAAGATATGAAGACACATCTTAAAAATTTACACAGTAAAATTGATAAATATATAAAAAATTAGGTCATGAACAGATGGACCAGTTAAAAATTGCATTTAAAAAAAATCTGTACTCGATTTATGCTGATATTATAGACATATAGTGAGTAGCTGTATAGCAAGAAATTATATTCTAAAAAAGTGCTAAAACCATTTTTTCAATATATTTTGTTGTTGGTTTTTCTTTTCTAGCGAATAGTACTATACCAATAGTGCCGTATACAAAATACCAAAATCTGGTAATAAAGATCTTGAGAATTCGCTGATGTTACAATTTAGGAAATTCGAAGACGTCCGCAGGAAGCATTTTTTGTAAAAATTGTAAAAAAAATTATCAATATCCTATATGATTTAACATCCTACCAGACTACTACGGGGTTCTTGCTTAATTGGCATTGGTAGGGACCAATATCTGTTTGTATAACTTATGTCCAGCCAAGATAAACCAACCTTACCTATTTGTAGTAACTTATATTTATGTTTTATATATATTATTTTATTTTATATTTTATTTTTAATATTTTGTAAGATGAGTAAAATAACATCAATCAAAAGAACGGAAATATTAGATAAATTAACAAAATTTTTAATTATATTTCAAGCCTCTTTAGAAATACATAAAAGTAATATTACTAATTATATGTTAGAACTTTTGTATCTCTACTACTATTTTTAATATATAAACATGACTTAAAGTTTGGTTTCATTTTCATGTTTATATGACGTATTCGGAACAAAATAATCAACACAACACCAAAAGTTATTTAAGGAATGACATCATCATATATACGAGCGAAAACTAATGACCAAAATCCATTTAGCCTAAAACCATAATATTTTTGTGAATAATTTTAACGAAACTACAAAACAGAGAAACAAAAAAAAACGTGTGTATGTATATATATTACTATTGTATAGATATATATACAATAGTATAGATATATTACTATTGTGTAGTATCTGTACATTAGTATTGTATATCGCATGTAGAATTAGAACTGTGAATCAAAACAAATTAAATACGCATTGTGTAAAGCAATTTACGTAGCAAATTGAACTGATGAGATTAGTATGAGACCATTTCAGTATCTTAACAAAAATAAAATCAAATCTAAGTACAAACTTAAATGTGAATATGGAAGATACAAATAAAGATTGTATATACAAAAACTTTGCTCAAAAAGCGAGGGGTTCTCAAGCAAGTATGAGACAGACTATGAACTACGCATAAATTTATACCTATGTACCAATGTATCTATATATGTATGTATTTTTCTGCTGTTAGTGTGCTATTCGACATACAAAAACAAGACAGTTTGGTTAATTCCTCATATAAATTCAGGCCCATATAAAACTGAGTTTTGTAATAAGAAGCTTAAAAGACATAACATAATAACACATATACGAATTACATAGATACTGAAGTATTTTCAAGGCCAAATATACAAACAAATGGAAATTATTGTTGAATGGCAGTTACAATTTCACATTGTTGAAATACATAGCAAATATAACTAATGTATATATATACACATCAAGAATACAACGATATATATGACATCATTATTTACAAATGTACTTATTATATCTTATTATTATTATTAAAAGTGAAAAATATGCACACGTACATATACTTATGTACTTATTCAAAGGACAATTCCACAAATTTCTCTCCGAAACTATTTATCTACATTGTACTGAAACAGCAGAAACCAATATTCTTGTTGCCAAACACTCAACAGCTATAAAAAGCTTCGCACATATCAGAAACCCGTATTTTTGTTGATAAGAATTTCTATACTGGCAACAATCAATGGAAACTGTGCAACATTTCTGTATTGAAGGCATGGATGGTTTACATAAATATAACGAAATAAAAAAGTATCTCGTTATGAAACTGAATTTTTTCTTACTGACATGGAAAAATTAAAACAAAATTAATTTAAAAATTAAAGCAAATAAATTAGTTTGATCGAAAATCTCAAAGCAGTCGAAAAAACAAACTACGACTACACAAAATATTTCTTAATACAACTGGCAACATTTGTTGTAAAATTATGAATTACTGCAAGCAATTCTTATACTGAAGATATTCAATATTGTTAGGCAAAATTTCTTTAAAATTGTATATAATGAACAATTTAAATATTAAATAGAATGAATCTTAGAGACCCCTGACAGTGTTGAAAAAAATCAACGGAACGTTAGCTTAAAAGTATTTTATTTGTATTCTTATACCATAATGCCAAAGCAGATAAGATAATAACCTTTAAGTCTTTTCTTATAGAATGGAGACAGTCGTATAATCTGATATTAGATTTTATTTGTTTTGTCTTTGGTATTCTATTACCATTAATTATTGAATAAATTTCCATAAATATTTTGCAACTATTCTTAATTACACAGAATGTTTCCCGAAGCCCTAACCCTATCCCGTTTTCTTATTGTCATAATGCACTAACTAACCAGAAATAGAATAATAGAATCACTTTTAGATTTATTTTCTATATTAAAAAAAATTTTTCACTTACCAGTTCAATTAATTTTAGGATAAATATTATTGTAACCTCCATTGCTAGCTTTTTAAAATTACAACTATTTTAAAATTCAGTTACGGACTTTTAAATAAAATTCTAACTTTTTACTATAACTGTCAGTTTTTATTTCATAGTCTATGTTGCTATGATAAGAAATTGATGTAATGTATTATACGTCTATTAAAAACACTTCATATAAGCAATGTTCCTCTGGACCATGTTATATACAGAATCATGGTCACGTCAAATTTGAAATTGTTGTTGTTTTCAATGTAAATTAATGAATTGAGAATAGGACAAAGAGAGAAATATGGATATAAACTTGATTATGGAGACAAGACTTTGTGTACTTCGTCACATTGGTCAGAATAGTGTTGCTAAAATACTGTTCTAGAAACTAGAACAGTGTTGCTAGTTTTCAATTTTAATATGAGAATTTTTTTTTGTTTTGATGTTCTGTTACAAAGAATTATTGAATAAAATTATAAGAATATTTTGCCCCACCCCTATCCCGCTTTCTTAATACCACAACGCACTAACATTCAAAAAATAGAATCACTTTTAGATTTATTTTCTATATTAAAAAAAAATTTTCACTTACCAGTTCAATTAATTTTAGGATAAAGATTATTGTAACCTCCATTGCTAGCTTTTTAAAATTACAACTATTTTAAAATTCAGTTACGGACTTTTAAATAAAATTCTATAACTTTTTACTATAACTGTCAGTTTTTGTTTCATAGTCTATGTTGCTATGATAAGAAATTGATGTAATGTATTATACGTCTATTAAAAACACTTCATATAAGCAATGTTCCTCTGGACCATGTTATATACAGAATCATGGTCATGTCAAATTTGAAATTGTTGTTGTTTTCAATGTAAATTAAAGAATTGAGAATAGGACAAAGAGAGAAATATGGATATAAACTTGATTATGGAGACAAGACTTTGTGTACTTCGTCACATTGGTCAGAATAGTGTTGCTAAAATACTGTTCTAGAAACTAGAACAGTGTTGCTAGTTTTCAATTTTAATATGAGAATTTTTTTTTTTTTTGATGTTCTGTTACAAAGAATTATTGGATTAAATTATATGAATATTTTGCCCCACCCCTATCCCGCTTTCTTAATACCACAACGCACTAAGATTCAAAAAATAGAATCACTTTTAGATTTATTTTCTATATTAAAAAAAATTTTTCACTTACCAGTTCAATTAATTTTAGGATAAATATTATTGTAACCTCCATTGCTAGCTTTTTAAAATTACAACTATTTTAAAATTCAGTTACGGACTTTTAAATAAAATTCTAACTTTTTACTATAACTGTCAGTTTTTATTTCATAGTCTATGTTGCTATGATAATAAATTGATGTAATGTATTATACGTCTATTAAAAACACTTCATATAAGCAATGTTCCTCTGGACCATGTTATATACAGAATCATGGTCACGTCAAATTTGAAATTGTTGTTTTCAATGTAAATTAAAGAATTGAGAATAGGACAAAGAGAGAAATATGGATATAAACTTGATTATGGAGACCAGACTTTGTGTACTTCGTCACATTGGTCAGAATAGTGTTGCTAAAACACTGTTCTAACTGTCAGTTTTTATTTCATAGTCTATGTTGCTATGATAAGAAATTGATGTAATATATTATACGTCTATTAAAACCACTTCATATAAGCAATGTTCCTCTGGACCATGTTATATACAGAATCATGGTCACTTCAAATTTGAAATTGTTGTTGTTTTCAATGTAAATTAAAGAATTGAGAATAGGATACAGAGAGAAATATGGATATTAACTTGATTATGGAGACAAGACTTTGTGTACTTCGTCACATTGGTCAGAATAGTGTTGTTAAAACACTGTTCTAGAAACTAGGACTTCTTTCTGTTACAAAGAATTATTGAATTAAATTATATGAGTATTTTGCAACACCCCTGTCCCGCTTTTTTAATACCAAAACGCACTAACATTCATTAAAAAGAATCATTTCTAGATTTATTTTCTATATTAAAAAAAATTTTCACTTACCAGTTCAATTAATTTTAGGATAAATATTATTGTAACCTCCATTGCTAGCTTTTTAAAATTACAACTATTTTAAAATTCAGTTACGGACTTTTAAATAAAATTCTAACTTTTTACTATAACTGTCAGTTTTTATTTCATAGTCTATGTTGCTATGATAAGAAATTGATGTAATGTATTATACGTCTATTAAAAACAATTCATATAAGCAATGTTCCTCTGGACCATGTTACATACAGAATCATGTTCATGTCAAATTTGAAATTGTTGTTGTTTTCAATGTAAGTTAAGGAATTCAGAATAGGACAAAGAGAGAAATATAGATATAAACTTGATTATGGAGACAAGACTTTGTGTACTGCGTCACATTGGTCAGAATAGTGTTGCTAAAACACTGTTCTAGAAACTAGAAACTAGAATTATTGAATAAAATTATAAGAATATTTTGTCCCACCCCTGTCCCGCTTTCTTAATACCACAACGCACTAACATTCAAAAAATAGTATCACTTTTAGATTTATTTTCTATATTAAAAAAAAATTTTCACTTACCAGTTCAATTAATTTTAGGATAAAGATTATTGTAACCTCCATTGCTAGCTTTTTAAAATTACAACTATTTTAAAATTCAGTTACGGACTTTTAAATAAAATTCTATAACTTTTTACTATAACTGTCAGTTTTTGTTTCATAGTCTATGTTGCTATGATAAGAAATTGATGTAATGTATTATACGTCTATTAAAAACACTTCATATAAGCAATGTTCCTCTGGACCATGTTATATACAGAATCATGGTCACGTCAAATTTGAAATTGTTGTTGTTTTCAATGTAAATTAATGAATTGAGAATAGGACAAAGAGAGAAATATGGATATAAACTTGATTATGGAGACAAGACTTTGTGTACTTCGTCACATTGGTCAGAATAGTGTTGCTAAAATACTGTTCTAGAAACTAGAACAGTGTTGCTAGTTTTCAATTTTAATATGAGAATTTTTTTTTGTTTTGATGTTCTGTTACAAAGAATTATTGGATTAAATTATATGAATATTTTGCCCCACCCCTATCCCGCTTTCTTAATACCACAACGCACTAAGATTCAAAAAATAGAATCACTTTTAGATTTATTTTCTATATTAAAAAAAATTTTTCACTTACCAGTTCAATTAATTTTAGGATAAATATTATTGTAACCTCCATTGCTAGCTTTTTAAAATTACAACTATTTTAAAATTCAGTTACGGACTTTTAAATAAAATTCTAACTTTTTACTATAACTGTCAGTTTTTATTTCATAGTCTATGTTGCTATGATAATAAATTGATGTAATGTATTATACGTCTATTAAAAACACTTCATATAAGCAATGTTCCTCTGGACCATGTTATATACAGAATCATGGTCACGTCAAATTTGAAATTGTTGTTTTCAATGTAAATTAAAGAATTGAGAATAGGACAAAGAGAGAAATATGGATATAAACTTGATTATGGAGACCAGACTTTGTGTACTTCGTCACATTGGTCAGAATAGTGTTGCTAAAACACTGTTCTAACTGTCAGTTTTTATTTCATAGTCTATGTTGCTATGATAAGAAATTGATGTAATATATTATACGTCTATTAAAACCACTTCATATAAGCAATGTTCCTCTGGACCATGTTATATACAGAATCATGGTCACTTCAAATTTGAAATTGTTGTTGTTTTCAATGTAAATTAAAGAATTGAGAATAGGATACAGAGAGAAATATGGATATTAACTTGATTATGGAGACAAGACTTTGTGTACTTCGTCACATTGGTCAGAATAGTGTTGTTAAAACACTGTTCTAGAAACTAGGACTTCTTTCTGTTACAAAGAATTATTGAATTAAATTATATGAGTATTTTGCAACACCCCTGTCCCGCTTTTTTAATACCAAAACGCACTAACATTCATTAAAAAGAATCATTTCTAGATTTATTTTCTATATTAAAAAAAATTTTCACTTACCAGTTCAATTAATTTTAGGATAAATATTATTGTAACCTCCATTGCTAGCTTTTTAAAATTACAACTATTTTAAAATTCAGTTACGGACTTTTAAATAAAATTCTATAACTTTTTACTATAACTGTCAGTTTTTATTTCATAGTCTATGTTGCTATGATAAGAAATTGATGTAATGTATTATACGTCTATTAAAAACAATTCATATAAGCAATGTTCCTCTGGACCATGTTACATACAGAATCATGTTCATGTCAAATTTGAAATTGTTGTTGTTTTCAATGTAAGTTAAGGAATTCAGAATAGGATAAAGAGAGAAATATGGATATAAACTTGATTATGGAGACAAGACTTTGTGTACTTCGTCACATTGGTCAGAAAAGTGTTGCTAAAACACTGTTCTAGAAACTAGAAACTAGAATTATTGAATAAAATTATAAGAGTATTTTGACCCACCCCTGTCCCGCTTTCTTAATACCACAACCAACTAACATTCAAAAAATAGAAACTTTTAGATTTATTTATCACTTACCAGTTCAATTAATTTTAGGATAAAGATTATTGTAACCTCCATTGCTAACTTTTTAAAATTACAACTATTTTAAAATTCAGTTACGGACTTTTAAATAAAATTCTATAACTTTTTACTATAACTGTCAGTTTTTGTTTCATAATCTATGTTGCTATAGTGATGTTTTGTTAAAATGTATTCTACTTCTCTAACATAATTTAAGCGTCACTCTGATAAAGTCTGAAATTGATAAAGATTCAAAATTGACCGAAGCAATGATTTCTGATACACTAAGCGTGAATGCCATGGCTGTATGGCGATACTCTTTATTAAAAAAGTACTGTATATAAGTTATATGTAGTATAAGATATGTGTAGTATTACTTATATAAGTCATTTTTCTTGAGAATTATAAAATATGCAGTTTTATGAGATATAGTATGGCTTGGCTTTTCGATGACACATACATAAATGTTGCTAAACTCTTTCCAGACGATTTCAATTGAATTGTTATGTAGGTTTAGACATGTTTAGCAACATTTCATTGCGTTGTTAATTTTGTCAAGCTATGAGGTCACTTAAGTATAGAATAAAAATAAACTATTCACTTCACTATTATTTCCGTTATGACGCCATCTTACAGCTCTGATTGTGTGATGACTAAAACGTAAAAAAATAACGAATAACATCAGAAATAAATGGAACGAGTAGAGTACGTGCAAAAGGATATATATACAGCAATTATTTAAGTAATAAAAATTAATTCGTTAAATAAAAATACTAGTAGGTTTACATTTGGGGTAAAATTTCGGTTGGGTAAAAGCAATTAAAACAATTTACAAAAAATGGCATATTTTATTTCTAACTTTTAAACAAAAAAAAATACACTTCTTATATCCTTATAGTTAAAGACAATAAAGTTTTATTTATCGCGAAATGTAAATATAGCATCGAATCCAAACATAACTCCATTTACCTTCGAAAAAGAAAAAAAAATGAAAATTTAGTAAAAATTTATGATATACCTTAAAATCATGTAATCATGTTTACTCACAATTGACAGCGCCGCCTTAATAAGGGCTAAATCACGTGTACGTGTGCGAAACGTATACTCCCAGGACTCGATTATGAACACACCTGATGTCACAAAAAGGGCACAACCCAGCACACTAAAGAATATGTCAATGCGTTTGTGTATTGGAGCACGCATAAGGACACCTGTTGGGTGTATAATTAATTGTTGCAAGGATTAATAAGAATTTATAACAATTTAGACTACACCTGCAAACACGCCAACAACGACGATTATGAAGCCAGTAAAAGTACCCGTGGCAAGGAATGATGTCACGATGTCACGATCATTAAAACTATAGAAATGCAATGTCAGACACGCAATGGCAAATCCCTGAAATAATAAACGTATTATATTGTATAAAGTACTTTCTTTCTTATAGAGAAATATGAGATTTAAATTTTCATACAAATTATACCTACATATATGTGTAATAAATAAGCAAATAGTTTGTGGCACAATATGTATATGTGATAACTGACCATTAATTATTAAGAGTTAAAAGAAAACTAGTATAGTTGGAAAGGCACTTCTCTAAGTAAAAGTAACTCCAGAGCGCTTACTAATTCTGACTTATCTCAAACGAGCGATGACTCTTGATTTTTCATGCCAAAAAAATTGAAAATGTATGAATACTGACATATCTGGAGGAAGGTGACCAATAGAACATATTTAAATATATTTCAGATCATCGAAACTATATTTGTGATGTAAAGAATAAATTTTAAAGTTTTAAATCAATATTTAGTAATCAACAGGGCACAGCGGATTTGAGGGAAACGAAAAAGCAGATGAAATAACCAGAAAAGGGGCGGCTTCATATTATATTGAGCCACTACCATTCTGCGGTTAAAATTAATGAGTGACTGAGAAGAGCACCTCAGACTGATTGGATAATACAATTGCCTGCGGACAAGCTAGAGAATCCATGCCATATCGATCAAAAGCCAGAACTAGGGAGCTACTTATGCTGAACAAAACTGGAAAGAACTTAGCCTAATCCCAAAAGATTTTCAATTATTTCTATAACGCGCATAGCTCTTAGTTCACTGAAAAATTTGCGCAACTCTCTCTTGCTTGACCTTCTCCAAGTAGTCTTTGGTCGAAAACAATTTTTTCTTCCTTGTGGATTCTATTCTAGAGTGGCATAAGCGGTTTCGCTGAAGGATTGCGTATAGTGTGGCAAAATCACTCATATTTTCTTTTTAGAAATAATACTAATTGATACAAAAAAATTGTATTTACTGCTATGATTCTAATGTGAATGAAATAAACACCACATATAAGGAAAGACTCAGTACTAATCGATTTATGTGACTACTACTTCTGGAGTTACTTCAATATTGACGAATACCAGAATACCATATAGTATTCATTGATAAAAATACCTTGGCCGATAGAATTAATTGAAATTAGGATGTAAGGGCAATGAATGCTTTAAGAAAAATTTAGGTTATACAAATATATTGAGTAGTAACGTATATAGAATAATAAATATATATGAGCAGCAGTTGCTTTATGCACTTTCTTTAAAATCCGTAAAATTAATGTCGTAATCCTACTGGACAGAGCTAAAGTCAAAGTACCAAAATTAATTACCAGTAGGCATTTCTTCCTAAAAATAGACATACCTTTCAATTAGATATTTAGAAAGTTTGGGTATGAAGAAGAAAAAGAAACAACTGCATTTGCAAATGCGAATTTCACTATGAATTAGCTTGATGAACATCCAAAATACAGATTTTTCAAAAATAACCTCATTCATCACTCCAAGTGAACGTATTAAGACTTGTAATCTGGTATTTATCTGGTACCGGAGTATCTGATAACAAAAAATGTGTTATTTATGTGTTATTTGAATAAAAGAGGAAGCTCCACCGTCATTAAAACCAAGTAAATTGGTTACACTTAGTTGTATTCTATAATATATTGGTTGGTTACTTTCATTTTGCCAATATTTATATTGAATTTAAACTCTTTATACACTTATAAAGTGGTACTTATATAATTGTACCACTGTAAGATACAATTATAATTAATTAAATATAATTAAATATTATAAATAAATTATATTACATATAATCATTATTAGATTAAATATAATAATAAATATAATATAAATGTAAATAACAATACTACTGGAGAATGTTATCAGTAACACTACACCATTAACATATATATTGAGCTCAATGCAAATTCCCACCTAAGTATTAGACATTCAATCTGCCGTATGAGAGCCTTCAGATATTTTATTAAAGAGTTTCTGATGATCAAATTCATAAATAACTGTTATTCTAATATCCTTCTTCTAAACTAAATCGTAGCTGTATAGTAATATAGAAATTGAAAAGAAGATTCATCTTAATACCCTAGAAAAGTATTTAAGTATATTGAGTATTTAAGTAATTATTATTGGACAGGTCGAGTTGACGTTCACAAAAAAGAAACCCTATAGTGGATAGAAACCGTATGCCAAGTATCTGGTAGTGACAGAGCTAATTATAAAAACATCTATTACTTTTCTCACCCTCAAGCAGTCTCTATCCTGCTTTTTGACACAGATCTTTTAATCAAACCCAATTCTAATCCTTTTTAACAACTCTTTAAAAAATTTTTATTCAAAATACATTTACACAATATCTCTTCGACGAAATCATAACTACGACACTCTAATCATATTGTGTCTAGTTTTAAAGTGACTTCAAAGTTTATTAATACATGCAGTTTATGATCTCATTATTTCATTATCTAAAGATTTTTTTCATCCATACATATAAAATAAAAGGCTGATTTCGAAGAGATTTTAAAAGTATTTTACCAGTTCTAAAAATTTAACGACTGTTAAACGTCCTTTGTGATCACCGTGTGACATTTTTTGAATGTTATTAATTTTATTCTAATTTATTTATCGATCGCGATTGATTTTACTTAAATAATTAATTGATTTTAAATATTTCACACTAATTAATAATTAACTATTATTTTTTTAATATTATGTCTATTTGTATCCTTTTTCGATTTTGTTGTTGAAAATTTTCCAAGTGAACGTAACCGCTGCGAAATGTAAACTAAGAAATCAACAAAAATTACGAAAATCAAATCGACATTTGCAAATTATGTATGAAATTGTTAATGTTTACAAAAACAACAATAAAAGTTTACAACAAAACACAGCAACAATTAATTAATTATACTTTAGGAAGGAAATAGACTTTTCATCTTGAAGTGGACGCGCTGAAGTGCACCTCATGCAGATTTTCGTAGTAAATTAAATAAAACAATAATAAATGAAAATGCTTGATTCAAAGCTTTTAGGCGGATTGCTGTAAAAGTGCGTATATGAATTCCAGATGTGATGTCATGTAAGCGATCAACGAGCCCAACGTCATGCTAGTCATCTAGTCTGGGCTGCAAACTGCAAACCACTTAATGAGACTGAAAATTAAATTGGCTTGAAGAATAAAGTGTGTAGTCGCCGAGGAATATCACTTAAATTTCACAAAATTCTATCATATATATTTAAAATTCTAATCGTTGAGTATATCTAAAACTTCTTTAGAGAATATAATTTTTGTCAACAATATTCAACGTTAGGTTGAGAAATCTTAGGTATGGCAATATTTGTGACTATTCATTTCAATTTAAATTATTTCGATTTTTTTTGCAAGTTTGGTTTTATTCGGTATGAGAAGAAATCTCCGACAAAGTCTACTAGTGATTTAGGTATCAATTTAGTAAAGGTTGAGCTACCTATGAGCTACCTACATCACGTTAAACAATATATAAATATTTTTTTAAATTTTGTGAGGCCGTGTTATGTGCTTAACATTTCTTGAAGGTGCTTGCAGAAGGTTCCCATAAATTGTACCCCGGCTTCGTGCTAATGTTAGGTATTTCCGTATTCCTTAGTGAAAACTTGATCATAAATTTAGCCACTTATCTTTTGATTTAAATATTGCTTCAATAATTTCAAAACAATATATAAAGTGTTATAGATCGAATATGCCGACTTTTCTTTCATAGTGCCTACGCTGCATATTTACGGTTGGGGGTCACTAATTGTGTGCGTATTTTTCAGTAAAGTTAAATGCTCATAATTGGAACTATAACAACCCAATAACAATGAAATAAAAGATAAATCAAGAAAGAAAAATTTCTAAAGATTTAGAGCACAACATTATCGCTAAATGTATCGTTTAAAGGGTTATGGGAACTGAATTTTTATGAAATGGGCACATTGAAATGTTATTTAT